ATGGTTTGTGAGTTTGAGCCCTGCATCGGGCTCTGCACGGACAGGGTGGAGCCTTCCCGGGATTCTCCCTCCCTCTCTCTCTGCCCCACTGACTCTTCGTGCCATCACAGTATGAGGCTATCACAGCCCCCCTTTCTTTAAGCTGGTTAATAGAACATTTGATAACCCATACATACTATGTTTTTGGCTTGGTACCCAGCCTGTCTCAGCCATTATCATCTTACCAAACTTTTTGTCTCACATATGTTTATCTTAAAAAGACAGTCTCAAACTTGGCTTCCAATAAATATAACAAGGCCCTGGCAAGGGTCCAGTGGTCTCGCTGAATTAGCCCAAGCCATTTCTAACTGGAGACCTACAAGATTTGTTGGATGGTTCACTGCCTTCCTTATGTCATCGGGTGTCATCTTACCACAGCTTCTGTGGCAGCAGTCTCCCTGACAGAGTCTGTCCATACTGCTAGAGTAGTCAATCACATAAATACTAGTATCACCAAAGAAATGATTACTCAAACACAGATTGATAACAGTATCATGCAGAGACTGCACTTCACAGATGCAGCACTTGAATGGACAGGGAACCACCAACAGGCACTTGTCAATCGTCAAAATATACAATGTTGTATATTGTTGTTGAATAAGCTTAGAAATTTCCTGGGCTTGCACCAGTGGGTTAACAAGGCATAAAGAATTACAAAGCCATAGGATGCTCACACCCAAGTTTGGGTAAACAAGATTAGGCAAATAAGGATAGACTGGGGTGGGGGGGCAAGGTCCCCCAATACAAAGGTATATGAAGTAAACAAGATTAGGTATTCAGGGCAAAAGTGCCCCCCAATCTTGTACCATAGCAGAAAGCTGCTTTCACAGGAAGGAAGGACCAAATTAAGTAAACAGGTAAATAGGGCTGTAGACCAATGAGCTGAGGTGAAGCTGCCCAGAGAGGAGCTGATTAACAAAAGAAAAGGTGCTTTGTTAACCCTGAGGTTACTTGCTCTATCTTATCCCTTAGGCTAGCTATGATAAACAGAGGTCCTGCCTCATGTTTGCTATAAACGCAACCAGGATTTTGTTTTGTATTAACCCAAACCCCTAGCCCCACATATCTTCAAGACCCCCTTTCCCTCATGCCCATGAGTTAATGTTCGTGTCTTTGTGCACATCCATTACCATGTGTGTAAGCCTTCTGATCCTAATAAAGATGGAGCAAGGACCCTTATTCGGGGCTCTTGTCTTTTCCAGGACGTTAGCCACCTCTTGCTTTTAATCCTGCATCCACTGTCTTGCTGGTCAAGTGAGAACTTTAGACTTAGAGTCTACAACAGAGGGTGACCCCAACGTGATGGAAGGAAAGGGGACTACGGGCTGACGTGGACAAGGAGTCGACATGGCCAGGAGGTGGTGCAACACAAGGACTGCAGGATGCTGCGGAATGATCAAGGAGTTCCAAGAAAAAAAATGCACTGGGTACAGTCTCCCTGACGAGGTAAGGGATAAAGCAAAACTATGTTAGGATTTGCTGCCATGGAACTTTTTGAGAGATCTCCCATGGGGAACTCTCTAGCTCCCTCCCAGCTCCTGACTCCCTACAAAAGCGCTGTATTTGAATTCTTCAGTCACTAGGAGAGACAGCAGGGATGACTCTAAACTATAAGGCTTTTCTTAAATCATTGCTGGCTGCCCAACAAAATTGCCCTTGGTTCCCAGAACAAGGAACTTATGATCTTGATGTGTGGGAACGAGTAGGGAAAACATTAAAGGCCAGGCATTCTGAAGGGGCTAATGTCCCCCCTGAGGTGATCTTCACCTGGTCCATCATCCGCACTGCCCTTCTCCCCTTGAGCTTGGATGGTGTATATGAAGAGGTAGAGTTATCTAAAAGGGAGGAAAAACCTCAGTTCCCCTATAATCAGGCTGTGCCTCTGGCGTCTTTACAGCCAAAATTTACTCCCCCTCTCCCAAAAGGGTGAGACAGTATTGAGCCTAAAAAAAAATCTCATCAACCTGATATCAGAGATCTCAGAAGGACCTCTGATAAAGTCCTTACCCTAATGCAGAAGTGTCTTGAAGAAGACCAGAAGGCCGTGAATTCCACCTGTTTCCCGTTTTTAGGCAAAAAGGACAATATGTCCATGAAAGCCTGCCCTTCCAAATAGTAAAAATTACAGAAAGCAGTTCAACTGTACGGCCTTCATAGCCCTTTTATGATCAGTATTTTGGAAACTGTGGCACTTATTCCATATGTGCCTGGGACTGGGGCGCTCTCATGAAAATCATCCTGACCCCGGCCCAATATGCTGTCGTTGCTCAGGACTTTCATGCTTGTGTCACTCGTGCTCTGCAGAACTTTGACACTGCTACTCCAGTGACTTTTGAACAATTGTCCGGCACAGGACAGTATGTCCAACCTGTTGTAGGTCGCGATCGCTTATGAACTCTGGACAGCAAAAACAGGGTCAAAACAAGTTTATTACGGCCAGGCCAGACAGGGAAATACAACAGGTCCCAAAAGTCTGGCCCCGAACATGCTTTAAGGATGTCTTATAAAGGTTGTATCGACCAATCGGGTTGCAAAAGGGTGGCAGTTTGAGAGGGTGGGCACCAGTCACACAATGTTGTAGGTTTTTAAAATATAAGGCAGGCACCAATCACACAGTCCTGAAGAATTTTAAAATATAACTTGTTGACTCCAGCCAGTTGAATGCTGAATCATGTTGTTTACAATATTAGTCTTCTATCTAGTTCAAACAGGATGCGGTACCCGAGAATGGGGAAGGGTGATTACACCAAGCAGGTTTACAGAAGCTCAAACAAGCAGTTAAGAGGAAGTTCTATTTCTCAGTAACTTGGCAAATGTGGTTTTAAGCAGGACTAATATCTCGGGAACAGAAACAGCACTTCTAGGAAAGCCCAAAAGAAACCGTTTCAGCATCTCATATTCTGGGGTCCTTCTAAGCTTACATAGGTCATAGTTTACTCCCGGGCTACAGGAGGCTAGCTATGTTTGCCCTTTACGTTCCCCACTTCTTCTGGTTTATACCCGATTCCTTGGTACTTAATTATCTTGGGCCATTAAAGGTATATATTGTCCTTGGAGTACTGTGAGTTTGATAGAGCTGAGTCTTTGGTTGATAAACTGTAGGAGTAATTTTACCAAGCAGGGTCCAATAAGGAGGACAAGGAGGACTAAGATTAACGGTCCAACTAGGGCACTAAGTAGCATGGTCAACCATGGTGACCATGAAAAGAGAGACTCATACCAATTTAGATTGCCTTGTCTTTGTTTTTCTCTTTCTTCTAATCTTTGTCTAATCTGTGCTAGGCTTTGGTATTGACATAAAAACAACATTGTTCTCCCAATGCCAGGCAGAGTCCTCCTTGTAGAAATAGGAGGTCTAAGCCTCTGCGGTTTTGAAGTACCACTTCTGTCAGGGAGTCCATAGATTCTGTTAATTTATCTGTATTTTTTCTAATTCTGAAATATCCTGATCAATCTGTTTACTAAGGAGCTTGAAATTTTGGTCCCCTGTAATAAAGGCAGCAGTACTGACCCCTAGGGGTCCCGCAACTCCTAGCCCTACAAATAAGGGTACCAGGATGGTGGAGATGGGTTCTCTTGTAAATCTAGATTGTGGAAGGAAACCTAAATGTTCTCGGCCACGTTCTCCCGGAAAGTAAAGAACCTGGGGGAGTAGGTGGACTAAGGTACAAAAATCAGAGCGTTTTCCCACATGGTATAAATTTAGACATGGAGTTAACCCTGAAGAGCAAGCAAACCATGTCCCAGAGGGAGGTACCAGAAAGTAGAGAGTGTCTCCAAGATGGGGACTCTTGGGGATGGGAATAGTGTTATTACAATAACTTAGGTACCGAGATTGGTTAACTCGATAATTTCCTGCATAGGAACAAGTTCCCTGACCTTCTAAATCCCCTAAGACTGGGGTGTTGTCCCCACAGACATTTATTTTGTAATTGATTGTGGCTTAAATTCTGAATCTGATTATCTGTTTCTCCTAGGAGTACGGATGCTCCTATCCCAAAAAATTGGGGGGGTGGGGTCTAGAATCTAGGCATAGCCAACAGTCTTGGGTGATGTTTGGGTTAGAATTTAGAAACTTAAAGGTGTAGTATAGGGCCTTAAAGGTATCCGTATCCTCATTGTGGGTCTCTTTGATTGTTGGAGGAGTATCTGTTAGTGGGGTTGCCTTAGTAAAGTTAGTGATCTTCCAGAATCAGGAAGAGGGTTAATAAAAGGATTTGGTTCCAATAGGGGCTCTTAGGGTGACCCGGATTTTAAATCTCTGTATAGTGATTTCAACACCAGGGTCACTACCAGTTACATACAGTCTGAGACGCCATGTCTTTCCTGAGTTCCATTGGGAGTCTAATCCATCTTTAATTTTTAGGGATATTAAATGTTGGGTTCTAGAATTAGAGACCGTAGTTATAGAGGATATGAATGGATCTTTGTGAGTCTAGTCTGCAATTGTTTCACAGCCCCAAGAGGCACAATGGAATTGTCCATGGCCTTGACAATCTGGGGGTCCATCCGAGGGGCAAGCATAAAGATGTACCTTTTTAAGGTGTTGGCATTCTGGTCCCTTTGGATGGGGGCTGGCTCCAGTGAAGCCCATTTTGGCTCCAGTGGGTGAGAGTATGGGTTTTCCCCCTTGTTTGAAAAGTACAGTGTTGGTCCAGCTTAGGAATTGGCTACAAAGATCAAAAATAAGAGAGGGGGAGGCGTAAGAGGTGGAGTTGGCCAGAACCTGTCCGGTGGTAGTTTTACTAACAATCCATCTATATTGGATTGGGCATGATCAGAGAGAGCCTGTCTAGTTATAGAAATTATAAAAAGCATCCAATACTTATAAAACATCCCATCTATAACAGGAAGGTGAAAATGAATAGCCCTTTTTCGACGGCTGTCCAATCTGCAGGCACAACTGCAACTAATCCAGTGGTTAGAATTAGTATAAAGATGGCTAGGAGCAGTAAAGGCAGAAGCAGGCAAGGCATTTATCAAGTAGAAGGTCAGGAGATTTTAACTAGTCAAACCCTAAGAGGATTTCCTGTTTGCTGAAGTGTCCATTCTTGTGGAATGTGATCAGGATGGGCGGCCTTGGTCTGTGAGCGATGGATCCAATGACTTCATCCAGCCACTTTCACTGCTGATGAGGTAGATAAGATGATGGGATAAGGCCCGGTCCAATGAGCTTCTAGGTTAGGCGAGGTGTGGCGCTGTGTCCAGACCCAATCTCCAGGTCCGATCTCTTGATGTGATGATTTAGTCTCATGGGGGGGGGGGGGAATGTCTTTACGTCTTTCTTTTATCACGTCATGGATAGCTGGCAGCGTATGTTGCAGAGCCTGACGGGATTTAAGAAGATGTCGGTTGGAAATCTTGGCCCAATGTTCGTCTCCCAATTTGGGGAGTAGTGAGGGTGGCCTCCCAAACAAGATCTCAAAAAGGGATAATACCCTTTACATAGGGTGTACATCGCACTCTAAGAAGGGCAAAGGGAAGGAGGCCTACCCATTTTTTGCCAGTTTCTGTAATTAATTTAGTCAAGGTTTCTTTTGGAGTTCTATTCATTCTTTCTACCTGCCCTGAGCTTTGGGTGTGGTAGGCACAATAATTTCCAATTTATTTGTAAGTGTTTGGCTAGCATTTTAGAGATCTGGGCTATGAAAGCCGGGCCATTATCTGACCCCAGACCAATAGGGATGCCAAATCGGGAAACCAATTCATTGAGTAATTTTTAGCCATTATCTGAGCTGACTCTGTTCTAGTGGGGAAAGCCTCTACCCATCCAGAGAAGGTGTCCACTAGTACAAGGAGGTAATGATAGCCATAGAGTCCATGTTTTATCTCAGTGAAGTCCGGTTCCCATATTTCTCCAGGCATCTTCCCGCATAATCTCTGTCCTGAAAAATTAAACTTGGGAGATGGGTTAGTCTGAGCACAGGCTTTGCATCGGTCTACTAGGCTTTTTACGATTTTATTAAGGTTTGGAATAAAATAGTCCTTTTGGGCTAGTTCAGACAACTCGGTTGCCCCTAGATGTGCGGAGCTGTGGCCTTGCTGGAGCCAGGTCCGTCCTATAGCTTCTGGTATGAAGATGCGTCCATCCTCGAGGTGATACCAATGCTGGTCATCTCTTTTTGCCCTCGAGGTTTTTATCAGGCGTAGCTCTTCTTTGGTATAAAACGGTTCCGTGGGGAGAAAGCGTGGAGGCAGCAGAGGCAAAATCTTAATTGGGAGTACACCGCCTTCAGCTGCAGCCTTTGCCGTCAGATCGGCGAAGACATTTCCCTTGGCTTGGGGTCAGTCTACTTTTTGGTGACCTTTGCAATGTATAATGGCCACCTTCTTTGGGAGCCATAAGGCTTCTAGCGGGGCCAGTTTCTTTTTTATTTCTTTTCCCCCAGATGTTAATAGTCCCCTTCCTTTATATAGAGCTCCATGAACATGGGTGGTGGCGAAGGCATACCTGCTATCAGTGAAAAAGTTCACCGTTTTTCCCTTTGCCCATCTGAGGGCCTGGGCTAGAGTTATCAGCTCTGCTCTTTGGGCCGAAGTGTCATGCTCAAGGGCTCGGGCCCAGATAACCTGGTCCTGAGTCACTACAGCTGCACCTGCATATCTGACTCCATTTTTGACAAAACTGCTGCCATCAGTGAACAGCTCAAAGTCTGCCTTAGGCAGGGGCTGATCCCTTAAGTCTTCCCTTAGCCCCGAAAGGGTACTTACGGTTTCCAAGCAGTCATGGAGCGAGTCCCAAACTCACTATCAGGTAACAACGTGGCTGGGTTTAAGGCTTCTGTCTTTAAGGTGATTCGTGGAGGGTCTAGCAGTGACACCTGGTATTGGATGATTCCTACCTTGGAAATCCACCAGTCCGGCCGGGAGTGCAACAAGGAAGCCACCGCATGAGGCCCTATAATTTGGAGGTCTTGCCCAAGTGTCAACTTGGAGGCCTCCTTAACAAGCACAGCTGTCGTGGCAACTGCCCTAAGGCAGCTGGGCCATCCCGTAGCGACTGAATCTTGTCGTTGGATAAATAGGCCATGGATCACTTCCAAGGGCCCAAAGTTTGAGTGAGGACTCCCTTTGCAATTCCCCGTACCTCATGAACAAACAATTGGAAAGGCTTGGTAATGTCTGGTAAGGCTAGGGCTGGGGCCTGGGTAAGTGCAGTCTTGATTTGTTCAAAAGCTTTATTTTCTTGTTCTCCCCAGACCAGCTCAGTTCCTCCCCCCCCCCCCCCCCCCCCCCCCGGCCCCAGTAGCAGAATACAGGGGTTTTGCCATTTCAGTCAAACCAGGTATCCAGAGGTGGCAATACACAGAGGCCCCTAGGAACCCCCTGATCTGCCTTTTAGTTTTAGGTTTAGGGATGTTTAGCATAGCTTGGATTCTTTCCGGCCCCAGCGATCACTTACCTTCACGCAGTTGGTAGCCCAAGTATATTACAGAGCCCAGAGCCCAAGCAAATCTGCACCTTCTTTGCAGAGACTTTATATCCCAGGACGTCTAATTCTCTTAGCAGGTCCTCTGTAGACGTTTTGCAGCTCTCTAAGGAGTCAGCGGCTAGGAGCAAGTCATCTACATATTGTAACAGCATAACATCTGGGTGGCTCTCCTGGTAGGGGATCAAATCCCTTCCAAGAGCCTCATCAAAAGAGTAGGGGAGTTTTTAAACCCTTGGGGCAGTCGAGTCCAGGGTAACTGTCCATTGTAGGTCCCATCTGGGTCTGTCCATTCAAAGGCAGAAATAGGCTGACTGAGCTTTGCAATCGGCAAAGCAAAGAATGCATCTTTTAAGTCCAGGATGGAGTAAAGGAGGTAATTTGGTGAGAGTTCACTCAGGAGAGTATAGAGGTTGGGGACTGTAGGATGAAGTGTCTCAACACTTTTTGTCAACTTCTCTGAGGTCTTGTACCGGACTGTACTCTGAAGTCCCAGATTTTGGGACAGGAAGCAAGGGGAGTATTCTAGAGGGAATGGCATGGCACTAGGATCCCAGCTTCTCGCAAGTGGTTGATGTGTTTGGCAATTCCCTCCCTCGCTTGCTGGCTGATGGGATAGTGCCTCACCCGGATTGGGGTGGCTGTGGCAGCTAGCTAGATCACTAGTGGCACTTGTTGAACGGCTAGCCCAGGGGGCTTAGTTTCAGCCCAAACTGTAGGAATTGTCTCTTTCCATTTTTCTATTCATGGAGAGGATTTCCACTCTGGTTTTTCTAGTAGATATTCCTCTGATATCGGACAGGTAACTAAAATGGCAGGTGGCAGTAGGTTTAAATCTATAGTATCCCTGGTAAAGGAAATTTGGGCCTTAAGCTTGTGCAGTAGATCTCTCCCCAGAAGGGAAAATGGGCAATCAGGTATAAGCACAAAAGAATCACAGTTCTTGAGCTAGGTCAGTGATTCGGGCAAGGGTCTATGGGTAGCCTTGTGTCTGTCCTGTGACTCTCTGTATGTATACTTTTTCTTTAATCACAGGTCCTAAGGGTTCTTTAAGAATGGAATACATAGCCCCAGTGTCAACCAGGAATCTGGTTTCTTTCCTTTCTATGTTGAGGGTAACCGCAGGCTCCCGGGGGTCCAGGGAAAGAGGGGAGCTGTGGTGACGTCATTGTTCCTGGGCGACCAGGATGGGTGGTTATGAGGTTTTGGCTTTTTCTTGGGGCATTCGTTCTTTCAGTGTCCCTCTTCCTTGCAATAAGCACATTGATTTTTTCCTAAAGTTGAGCGGGGTCTCTTTTGGTGGGTTTGAGGCTTCCCCAATCCTTTAGAGTGGTTGGGGGGCTTCCCCCCCATGGTGCCATGAATACCTTCCCTATTTCCTTCCCCTGCATAATGGCTGGGCTGTCTCTACTCTGGAAAACTCGCTGAGCTATTTCTACCAGTTCAGAGATTACCTTTCCTTCAAATCCCTCTAATTTCTGAAGCTTTTTAGGGATGTCTGGGGCCAACTGAGAAACGAAAGTCCTATTAATGGTTTTCGGTTCTCTATTGCTTCGGGGTCAATAGGAGAATATAAGCAATAAGCCTGGTAAAGCCTTTCTAGGAAGGCTGCAGGTGACTCATTCGGTCCTTGGACCATGTCATAAATCTTTGTCAGATTGGTGGGTTTTTGTGCCGCTGCACGAAGCCTTTGTAACAGAATCTGGCGATAGTGGAGTAGATGCTCCCCACCGTTATCCATGTTAGGGTCCCACTGGGGTGGCGCGGAAGGGAAAACGTGCTCAATTCTGTGAAGGTCTGTGGTAGGCATTCCATCTGGGCCAAGGACTGCTCTCGTTGCTTCCCGGAGCACTCGGGCCCTTTCCTTGGAAGTCAGTAAGACCTGCAAGAGTTGGTGACAGTCTTCCCAAGTAGATAAGTGAATGGTGAAAATGGAGCTCAATAGGTCA